TAATCAGTTTTGATCATCTAAGGAAAGTGGCGATGACTACAGAATTGTTCCACTGAGAGTAATTTTCAGCTAACTCGCATGCCTCGACAATGCGACTTATCTGTCCGCGAAATCTAGCTTTTGTGCGTATCCGCGTTTAAGAAACAGCTCCAGTCGTCTGCTCAGTCAACAACACAGGCTGCGGGGAAATTATGAAAATTAAGCAAGCGCTTCTTGAGCCAAGGACCATGTTAACCCGCCGGCGCCCCACTAAGCAGCTGATAGTCGTATTTCAATTCAGGTTTTAGTAGCAATCGAGAAGTCATTTTGACAAGCGGGTTATGTATTATAATACATTATATGTCCCACTAAAGCGATATTAGTATATTCTTCGGGTTGAAATATGAGCTTAGTTGACTAGCTATTAGGTGAACTGCTGAATAAAAGTATATTTGACAGACAGAGAGATACTACTTAAACTTGGCCAAATGGTTCTAGCCGGCAGCACAGAGACAAACTGAAGAGAGCCTTCATCGGAGATTCACGCAGAACCTCTCTGGGCATTGAACTTTGCTTCGAATCCTGAACGGAGAAAATGAGTATTTGTTGTGGCCGGTCAACCTGAGCAATGTAGACGTATATTGCTGCTGGCTTCGACGGGGGTGTAATATAAATATTGGAGGCGCGATAGATCAAAATGCTGTGACAGCTTCCAACATAATGAGACTTGTCCTCCACCTTTTTAAAACAGATAATTTCCCTCATTCTTCATTTGCAGTGAGCAGGTTTTCCAGAATAGAGTAATTGGGAAATCAGCCCAATTCCTTCAGTGTGGTCCAGAGGATTTTTCGGCGAAAAGCAGCCAAGATGAATAGCCGCACCGACCTGCGTGGGTGGCTCAAACTTGAAGCTAACCGAACACAACCAAACTCAAGAAAAGCAGCTATCGAACCTTCCCATTCACTTGACTGCAACATTGGTGTTCTCTCCAGTGAAATGCCTCGTTTGCCATCCTGAGTCCACTGTTCTACATCCATATAAAGAAAACACTTATCAGTTACCAAGCAGTCGTCACTTTGAATGTGATTCGAGACAGACCAAAATTCAAAACGTTTTTCCCCGATTCCTCCCTATCCAAGAAATCGAAAGCACGCGACCGTGAGTTGTGGAGTAAACGGGCTTTCAAACACGTGATGGAAGGAAACAATCTACTGAGGCTTCACCACACTAAGGAACACTCAGGCAAACTTAAGAAATTTTCGGACCTTCGTGAAGTTACATTGTTCACCACCGCGTCGACAACATGTGTCCGCAAAAGTCACCAGAGACGCGGAGGGGCGCGGAGCGACCTGGTCCAACTGGTTCCCGGCTTTCCCGCTTGGTGGCATCCGTTTTGTTGGAGTCGCGAATACACGAGAGAAGTGGGGAAGGAGGAACTCCCCTCTCCCTGAGACTTTATAGCAGATTAACCAGTCATTAAAAATTCATACAAAAGCAGCTTTGGAGGTGGTGCGGTCAAGGGTTTCCTTAGGAATTGAAATTGGGGGGGGGCATTGAGAATAGAGGAGTTGTTGCGAATTAAGGGGGTGCCTTAAAAAAAAAGTGAAAGCCGCTTACAACTCCCTGTAACGCCGAATTAGAGCGCAGCTCTTGAGGAGGAGGAGGGAAGGGCACTGGAGGGGGGGGGGGGGTTAAACTAACCAGGGGGGGTCACGTGACCTTGGGGGGTCACGTGACCCCCAATGCCGATGATGTCATCACTGACGTCACTGATGACGTCATCAGTGACGATGACGATGCGGGTACCGATGACGTCATTAGTGACGTCACTGATGACTTCACCAGTGATGATGACGATGACGATGCGAATGTCGGTGACGTCATCAGTGACGTCGCTGATGACGTCATCAGTGATGATGACGATGCGGATGTCGGTAACGTCATCAGTGATGATGACGATGCCGGTGACGTCATCAGTGATGATGACGATGACGATGCGGATGCCGGTGACGTCATCAGTGATGATGACGATGACGATGTGGATGCCGGTGACGACATCAGTGACGTCACTGATGACATCATCAGTGATGATGACGATGACGATGCGGATGTCGGTAACGACATGAGTGACATCACTGATGACGTCATCAGTGATGATGACAATGACGATGCGGATGTCGGTAACGTCAGCAGTGATGATGACGATGACGATGCGGATGCCGGTGACGTCATCAGTGATGATGACGATGACGATGTGGATGCCGGTGACGTGATCAGTGATGATGCCGATGACGATGTGGATGCCGGTGACATCATCAGTGATGATGACGTCATCAGTGATGATGACGATGTGGATGCCGGTGACGTCATCAGTGACGATGACGTCATCGGGGGTCACGCGACATCGGCGGGGGTCACGTGACCTCGGGGGGTCACGTGACCTCGAGGAGGGGGTCACGTGACCTCAGGGGAGTCACGTGGCTTCGGGGGGTCACGTGACCTCGGGGGGGTCACGTGCCCCCCACGAGGTCACGTGACCCCGGTGGGGCGCTCGCGCGGTGCATTATGGGACATTTCCCATGATGCACCGGGGTCACGTGACCTCGGGGGGGGTCACGTGCCCCCCACGAGGTCACGTGACCCCGGTGGGGGGCTCGCGCGGTGCATTATGGGACATTTCCCATGATGCACCGCGCGGTTACGCCGACGGCGACGCCGACGCCGCTCAGGCTGGAAACGGGCCCCTAAGAGCTGCGCTCTAAAAACAAGTTGGGGGGGGGGGGGGGGTGTAGGGAAATCATTGGTTGTGGTGAACCGATCGCTGGTGTGCTTCGGTGGCTGGAACGGCTGGGACATCCTCTCGACGTTAGCCTCGCCGCAGCTTTGCTCGTCCCGAGACAATCTACGCCATGATTGCGGCGGATGTCACGTGCCTTCCGCTGGCTGCTCTCCGAGAGCTTGCCAGAGTGGGCCATCCATCAGCCATCAGGCTTAAAATACAAACATGCGATTCAGTGGCGTAGCCATGATTTTTTTTCAGGGGGGGGGGGGAGAGGGGGAGGGGGGTGGCTGAAATGTCTATGACTTGGGGCACAGAGGAAGGGGGTGGGGGAAGTGGGGGGTCAAAATGCATGTGTGTATTGTAGGGTTGGCTGGATTTCAGGGGGGGGCCTGAAGCCCCATAAGACCCCCCCCGGCTATGCCTCTGGTGCGATTGTCATTTACGGATATTGTAGATCATATTCAGCCTATTTCTGAGCACGATGGGTATATTTCAAATTTCATTCCGCAGCGATAAGGGGCCATCGGGACCAGAGCTGTATACGAAGAGTTTGGTCTTTAATTGGTAAGAATGGGCAAAAATAAGGGCCCGTCATTTGCCGAAATTGTTTCAATGACCTTGAGTGTGTTGATTGACAGCACTTGTGACCAACCACCAGCCACGAATATTCCCCTAGCGGAGGCAATGAGCTTAACTTTTACGCAGTGTCTAGCGTTACGTCCGACGGAACCTGAAATAAAAATTAAAGTTACGTCCGACGCAACTTTACGTCAAGGTTTTGAGTTACGTCCAACGTAACCCAATATGAAGATTAAAGTTACGTCCGACGAAACTCCAAATAAAAATTAAAGCTATGTCTGACGCAACTCCATATAAAAATTAAAGATACGTCCGACGGCACCCGAAATAAAAATTAAAGATATGTCTGAGGTTTCGAGTTAGTCCAACGGAAATAAGTTACGACCTGTGTAACCTACGGAACCTTATTGAATGTTACGCTTTGTGGCCGAAACACTACATAAACACAAAAATATTATAATTTTCTTCTGCATTACGTCCGATGCAGCATTCGTAAATTGGGTAAAATAGCAGCTTTATCCGAACCTCCAGGCTTGTTCAGAGGGTTGGAGTGTGTTCCTCGTATGTAGAGGCTATGTAGGCCATACGATTTTTTTTTCTCCTTTTTTTTTCTTTTAGTTCTTTTTTTTTATTTTAAGGGGATTTTTTTTTTTTTCGATTTGTTTTCGATATGAAACCACTTTTTCTTGTGGTTCATATGAGAGATTGAGGGGGCCCATCGTCGCGTCTAAAGCCCCTATATGTACCGTGATCTAGAAAAATCGTGTTGCCTGTATGTAACTACATGAACGCGTGTAGTAATAATTACACGAACGCACGCCGGTACGAAACTCATCCAAATCGAAAAGGGTAGCGGGTGGGGGTAACTTTAGTTTTTTTATTTCGAGTTCCGTCAGATGTAACTTTAATTTTCACAATGGGTTCCGTCGGATGTAACTTGAAACCTTGGGGTAAAGTTACATCGGATGCGTAGGACGTAACTTTAATTTTCATTTTGGGTTACGTCGGACATAACTCGAATCCTTGACGTAAAGTTATGTCGGACGTAACTTTAATTATTATTTAGGGTTCCATCGGACGTAACGCTAGACACTGCGTAACTTTTATCTTTCAATCACAATTTCTGGGTAAGGATGTATTCAAGTATTTTATATTTCAGCACGCTAGAGTTAAAATTTGCGACAGATCTTCACAATTGAAAGGGCAATGCACGTGACATTGCTGTCACGGCAACATTCAGAATGCACTCAATCTTTTCTTCGTCTTGGGTCCAATGACTGCAGTGAAGAGAATAGCCGACATCTAACAATGCCTCGAGCTCAGCAGACGCTATCTACTTTCCTGACCCCAGCTATGATTAACGTTGGCGGCATAAGATAGGCACCAACCAGGCCACGTGACCGCTTGTTCCAGCTCCGAGTTGAGGGGATGAATGATGTTCATATTTCTCAAATTTGTTTGCCAACTGTCAATGCTTAGAAAGAAAAACTAAGGCAAGTTTATTCGGTTATAAACGGTAGGGAGTGATTCTGAGTAGTATCTAACAAGAGTAGAAAAACTTTTTCATGACCTTGTAGCTTTTGCTCTATTTCCCCGTCTGTTAACGAGACACGCCACGTCGTCTCGTAGGGACCCAGGCTAACCAAGTGCGAGGTCAGTCTCTCGTGTGAATGAGCCTGCTTTTATTCTCGGTCGGTGTCGTAGTCGTCATCCTCCCTCTTCCTCTTTTGGTCGGCATCCGCGTTCTCGCTCTTGATGTTGTCGACGGGCAACATGCCCGTCTGAAGCCCCGTTCCCATGGCGCTGGTCGTAACCACACTGGGGGGACCCACTCCGCCCACAGGTGTTAAAGTGGGTGCCGTGACGGACGACGCTGATGTGACCAGGACCGTGGACATTGCCGCCACCTGTGCGGCGCTGCTCACTGGCGTGACTGAAGAGACCGCGGTCCCCGAGGACACCGCCGTGCTCAAGGTCAGGGGTGGTCCTGCCAAGAAAGCATACGAGCTTGGCTAAGACACACCTCACGTCGTCGCAAACCCGACAACAGTGCGTTCTCGAGCGCCTGAAGTTGTTGTGCATGGTAAAACAATTCAGTGGCTGGAGAGACACTATTATGCTATACAAAAATTAGGACAGCTGGGACGTAAAAGCCTCGGCTACAATTAACTCCTTAAGTGCCAAATTTTTTTCCAAAAGTAACCTAAAAGTGCCATATTTTTTATTATTTTGAATTGTTATTCCTCTAGTATTGCACATAAAATTTGAAAAGTTTATTACGCAAAAATCAGCGGAGGCGAAAACAATATTTGCCAACTAAAACGAGTGCTGCCATCTATAATCAGGACCACAAAACTACTCGGACAAGCCTAGCTCGTTCGTGGAATTGAGGGCTACCGAAAAAACCACTGGACAAGCTGAGCTCGTCCACGGCATTTTTAGCCAGAAAGTGGCCGACGAGCTCAGCTCGTCCAAGGCACTTAAGGGGTTAAAGGGACACTGACGGTATTTTTGCTCACCAAGGTTTTTATTTGCACATGTGAGAGCCCAACTACCCAGAACACACTTTGCGGCTCGGAAATCATTTTCTTTCAGCCCGAAAACCGCCAATCAAGAACTGCCCGTTTTGAGTCGCGCTCACTCTCATCTCCGTGGTCACATGGCGTTTCATATGGTTTAGACACAACCACCAAAGATAATCAAAGTCATAGGTCATCGAAGGCACACACTCAATACTAAAAATAGTCTGAAAATATGACACTAATTTTTTGTAGCTTCTAAAAAATTGCAAATATGTTTCCCGAAAGAAAAAAAAGTTGCACAGTTACGTGATTTTTGGTAACTTTCTCCTCTATATTTCTCCTTCCCCCCCCCCCCCCCTCCAGTTTCGGTTTCGGTTTTGAGGAGTAGCATCTTTTTAGTTTATTAAAAATATATATAATGCTGTATACTGTGCTTCACCTTACCGTATTTACTCGCACAATGAACGCACTCGCGTAATGAACGCACCCCCCAAGTCGGCTCTCAAAATGTCGACTTTTTTTTCACTCGCGTAATAAACGCACCCCCAACTCAACCCAACTCGGACGTCAAAATTTTTACCCCCTAATCCCACGCGCGCGAAATTAACGCACTTTTCTATCCTGGTGCAGCGAGGTCGCGAATGCATGGGCAGCGTGGGCGAACAAAACGCCTTGCAAAAGGCGTTAAAAAATTCGCAAAGATCCAACGGAAATAAGAAAAGAAGACACGAAGAGAAGCTTTTTTTTTTTTTTTTTTTTTTTTTTTTTTTTTTTTTTTTTTTCACAGCGGTCTGGATTTGGGTTCGCGCGCCGCCACGCGCAAGGAGGTAAGAAAGAGAAGCGCTCTAAGCAAACAAAACAGCTTGCGAAAGGCGGAAAAAAAAAACAACACCGAACTGAGAAAAAAGAAAAAGAGGAGCTTTTTTTTTTATTCTTTTTGCACAGCACAGTTTGGTTACGGGGGGTCGTGCGTCGCGCGCCAGGAGATAAGAAAGATAAGCGGAGAGCCCTCGCATAAGCAAACAAAACAGCTTGCGAAAGGCGGCAAAAAAAAAAAAACAAGGAACTAAGAGAAATAGAAAACAAAGTTTTTTTTTTCTTTTTTCTTGCAGAGCTTAGTTTGGTTACGGAATCGGGCGCGGGCGCCGTTTGCAAAGAGATAAGAAGTTACTTCGATTTTTCAGGATAAAAGGTCGCTCATTATGCGAGTAAATACGGACGCAAAAATGTTACTTCGCGTAACGCCCCCCCCCCCCCCCCCCCGCCCCCCCAACTTTGCATCGATTTTTCGGAAAATAAGTGCGTTCATTCTGCGAGTAAATACGGTATGTTGTACCGCAGCGAAGGCTACAAGCGTGAGCTCATAGCGTTGGCAGCTGCCCTTAATGCAGGAGAGCTTGTATCGCAGAGATGTCCCCCAGAGCAAGTAGCTCGTGCTTGTAGCCTTTCCTGCGGTACATCATAAGGTGAAATAGGGTATAGCAAAATACTGACTGGGCAGTCTTCCGACACCATAATGGATCGCCTGTCAAAAAATTTAAAAAAAAACAATTCTTAGGGGGTGTCAGTGTCCCTTTAATGTTTGACGAAAGACATTAGAAATTGAGGAAATTGAAGATGTTCATTTTATGGCACAAACTCAATCTAAGCACCCTACGCCCCAAAAACCAGAATTGCAATCATGTACTGCCTTTTGACCCATTAAAAATGCAACCAAATGTCACAACAAACTCTTTTTCAGAGAGATATCTCAGAAAATGGGCACGTGACAACGCTCAGTCACATTTATAATAAAGAGAAAGGTAACAAATGATTTAAATTTTTTTAATTACTTTTTAGGACACTTTGGTTCTGTAGATTGAGTTGTTGTCATAAGGCGACAAACTTAAGATTCACTTTAGTGCCCCTTTAATTGAAACCCGACATAAAATCAATCGGCACTGGGAATTTTGAGAATGAAAGCGACTTACTTTGGGAGAGCTTGATGATGGGTGTGGGATGGGACTTGTTGGCTGGTCGAGAGACGATAGTCACTGTGGGTGTAGACGACGGCCTTGAAACAACTGCAAGCGTGGCCCCTGTCTTGCTGCACAAGCTTAGCACAGGGTTCACCTTAGAGAAGCCTGCAGAAAGAACCCCATACTAGAGTCTTGCTCGCATTCTCTACCCATTCACCACGGTGGCCAGGACTTCATGTGTGAATAGATTTTGGCTAGCCATCTCGATGGCTTCAAGGCAAAGTGCCAGCATTTGGATCCCCAGGTGGCGGGTTCGAATCCCGGCCGAGGTGCCCAAAGTCTGGCAGATGCTTATTGTGAAAAAGAAGGTAACTGAGACTTCAGTTGCACATAAAAAATCCCCAGGTGGTCGAAATTAATCTTCAGTCACTGGGGCATGCCAGATGCCCTTCATTAGTTTGGTACATAAAACCCCCGAATTTGACTTCAATACTTGGCTCAAACAAAGTGGGGTACAAGAGACAGACATTTTGAAATCCACCAGTGAAGAACACTGACGTTAAAGGGTAACTGGAAAGAAAAAAAAGTGTTTTTTTGAACAGCCTAATTGGGACAAACATGTAAAAAAACAATCCTTCCATAAAAAAAAAAAAAAAAATTTTTAGAGCAATATTTATTGCGCAAGACTGATTTTAGTTTGCGGCTATTGCGTCCGTTTTAAATCGCTCGCCACAAAGTTGGTATTATATGTCACGGAGTGGCAGCTATACGTCACAGACTGGCTGCTATACGTCACGGAGCGACGTGCGATAGCAACTCTTCTCATTGGCTAAAGATTGATTCACAGCTTAGATCTTGCTTGTTAAACCTTTAGGATACGTTGTAATTTCCTTTTGAGCAGCTTTTTTTTTCATTTAAAGAATAACCCATGTAATTAGAATCATTATTCTTTACAAAAGGTTGACAAGACTGGCACTTCCGTCTGGATACATACCATAAGAAACAAAATCTTTGGCATTCTTTTTATGGCCGCTGAAGTCTCTGCTCCGTCCCGCGTGTCTCGCCTACCTCGACTAGTCGTTTCGCCTAGTGATTAGTGTTTCATGTTGACCCAGGTGCTTGAGTGAAACTTCCTGAAGTGAAATAGTGTGTGTTTAGTAGCTGTCACAGGTGTTAGTGGTAGGAAGCGACGCGGGGCTTTGGCTTTCATTGCGCGGTTTGTTACTTTCGTTTCCCTCTTTGCTTTCTTAGCGTGCTTTTTTTTGTGCGTGCAAATGTTGATTTTTTTTTAAGACATCAGCTTCTGTTAAGTGCCGCCGTTGCTTTGTAAAGTGGTGCCAGATGAGTGATTGCGACAGCGAGTCTTCTAGCAGCCATGTTGCACCGAAAGATGACAAGCTGAATGCTATTTGGTTGGAGACAATCGGGCGTTCGCGTAGCGACCAACGTGTCCAGATATGGTCTTGTCATTTTGCTCCGGAGGCCGTCGAGATTCGCACCGGGTGCACCAAACATCCGTGACTGAGACACAGCTGTTACGTAAAAAAACCTGGCACAGCCAGGTTATTACGTAACAGCTGTCCGTAGAAGCCTTTGGACGTCTGAATTCTGCATTAGCCGACAGATTTTTTTCCCTGGCTTCTGAACCATCTTACGTAAAGTTGTTTAAATTGAATGTGTAGTGTTATCGTAAATGTGTACTGTAATCGCAAATCTTGGCTTGCGATTGCGCCTTTCTAGATCATCTTATTCGTTTCGCTGGAGAGATGCGAACGACGGGCATAACAAAATCGTTTGCATATTTTGCATACCTCGCAAAAGCACTTCCCCAGTCACCTTGCAAAAAGCACTTCCCCAGTCTTTTACCTGCTTTACAGCAGTTTGTACCTGCTAGTAGGTATGTCTACTGAAACTGCACCTTGAAACTAGGGGCAGCGCCAGAGAAAAAAGAGGCGAAGTTGGGAAGCTTGCTTGCCCTCCGCCATTTCTGAACCCTCAAGCGATTGTACCATCATAAATGCACCAACGCCTCTTCCCAAAATAAAAGAAGCACATGTTCACTTCATAAAAAATAACCTGAGTTCATGCATCTGTAGGCAAGTAGGAAATCTTGCTCAAATTTATTCACACCGCATGATGAGCGCAACAAACTCACACGAGATTTACAGGAAAATATTGGTGGCAACTTGTTTCCCTGAAATTCTGTATAACCAGTCTTTTGCAGGATCGAATCATCTACTCGAGCGGTGTGCGTCGCTGTGCAAACATGTTGCTGTGGAAACGCAGTCCAACCACACGAAGCATAAAAACGGCAGATTTAGTACAACAATCCGGAGTCCATCGTTCAATTAAAACATCATTTTGTTGAAAACGCCCGCAGCTTTTTACTCACGGTATGCGTCGGGAATCTCCAACATTTTGAAACGGAAGAAAGGTAGATTTACTTTTAGAGACATTCGCTGCGTCTTCCTGGACCAGCTGGACCGGATCAGCAGACGACGACGGGACTGAAGCCGTTGAACCTCAACCTCAACTGGGAAACACTTTAAATTTAAATGAGACTGCAGCACAACCTTCGAAATGCGCTTTAATGAGCCTTTTAATATACGTGTCTCACCCAGCCGCAGGCCCTCTTAGTGTTTTGCGAGTGGCATACAACTAGTATTTTAGGGGCGAAGCTCCTTAGGGTCTAGCCTTGTCCATCCGTCCGGCGTCCGTGCTCACATCGATTGCACTGCCTCCGGGATCGGCCCACTTTAAAAAAAAATGCACGCCCGCAATGTACAAGCATCCCTAGCGCCAAGGCGCATCGAGCGAGAGAGGAGGTTGGGAGAGGGCATGAACCTGCTCTTCGGACTCTCTTGCCAGGCATTACCCCATACAGGAGGCGCTGGCCCTAGCCACGAAGCCAACAAAGCTCTTTCAGGAAGGAGCGAGGCCAGCGAGACGACAGGCGCATTGTGTGATGTTTACGGCTCTTGAACAACGAGCATACCGAGATTTGAATTTACCGCTAAGCTGCTGCTCGAAATGGTGAGACCACATCGGTTCCTTTGCAGTAGACATAAATGCGATTCTAAGGAAGAACAGCTAAAGAAAATACGGTTGTCGATCATCGGGAACAAAATGTGGCGTAGGGAGCGATTGATGTGAAACGTGCTCGCGGTCGGTCTTGTCGTTTTTGTTTCGAAACGTGGAGACAAATAAAATGTTTTCAAACATGCAAGATCGTTATCAGCGACCCGAACGCAAGCTCCAAGGAACAAAACAGTTGTGGCTGTGCCCAGCGATGCCAATCGTCCGCTACATTTGGTGGTTAACGCCGCCACAAAGCAGTCACAAATAGGGGATTACAAGATTGGTAGTAGAAATCGAGGGAAGCGTGAAGTTGCACACGTAATTAACAGGGTATACAGTCTTACGGGATACAAAAGTTCCGACGCAGAACTTGAAAGGTGCAGTAAGGATTCTAGGCTAGGTGGCGCAAGCTACCGCCCAATATAAGGGGGCACAGCTGTCAGCATCCATCTATTCACATAGCCACCGCCAGCAGCTAAGTCGCCGCTGGTTCGAACACTCCTCCGTCCTCGCACTGTCCCGTTTTTGGCACAGCGCCGACGGCGTTTTCGCCGGGGCGGGGCGAGACGCCGGCTGTGTGAATGAGGCCTTAGGCTTTTTAAAAAAACTTTTTTTCTTTGCAGTTACCCTTTAAGGGCATTGACTTAATCTCAGTGATTACAGTTTGCCATCCTAGTTCAACCAGGTAGAAGTAAGCCTCACTGGTTTCATCTTGGAAAATTCAAGGTGTAAATATTGTCTTTCACTTTTCATACTGTAATTACAGGAACAAATTGGGGCTTTCATGCCATAACCAAGAATCCACATATACGAGGTTCTTGCTGCAACATGGTTTACTGTGCCCTATTACACTGTATAGGTTGCTTTAGGAATACTCATCTTTATCAGATATCGCTTCAGCTCCAGGAATAGCTAATTACACTACCCAGAGCCCTCATCAAGGTGCCATTCTACACCATACCCGATTACCGGAAAATACCGCGAAAGCTCCCACTCCGTTCAAGCACCCACTATTAACATTTCCCATACTATGGAGTTCTGCAAATTATACATTAAGCACCAACCCCTCCAAAGCACCGGCATCCAGCCGAAAATATTCACCCGTTTACAGCGGCCACGAGACCGCCAGTGGCGATATCATGGGAAAATAAATGTGCTTTCTCCGATTCCGTTCACCCTGCCTGCAAAGCTCTTTATTGGCCGCCATCTTAGTTTTTTTTTATTTTACCGGACAAATGCTCATGTCTAGATTAACCCATTTTTCAGTAAAAGTAAGGTTGACGCTTCTTCGGTATTTTACAGTACTTCACTTAGCCTCCTACTTGGGGTTGGTACCAACAATTTCACACCTTGTTTTTCTTTTGAGTTTACAGAAGACAAGAGAGCCCATAGTGCCTGGAAAGTTGATGCGGGACACACAGCATACGGTCAAATTCCACTCGTGCTGGTTTTAGTGTGGACGAGCATTTGTGCAATCACTACCAATGCACATTTTTTATTGATTTCAAAGTATTGCCAGCCGCCTGATTGGTGAAGGCAAGAGTGAACACTGCATCACAGACTATATAAGTAAACAAGACAAAAAAAATTGTAAAGGCTCTGTTATATTCTGACGTTGAGCACAGAGAACACAGAACATGCACCTTTCATTGGCCGGCAAGCAGGAACTCGATACCAGCGACGAATCAGTATCTTTGTGTGCTACGCTCTACGCTGTGTTTGCTACACTGATTGTCAGAGTATAACAGAGCCTTAAGCACCCACAACAGCAATCCACTGTGTAACTGACATTCAATAGACTCAAACTTGCCGCCGTATCAACACCAAGAATATAAGAACCTAAACTCACCAGAACCGGAATTTCCTTGCATGGAAGACAAGCTGAGCTGGGTAGGAAGTCCCACTTGAATCCTAGGCTGGATGAGGTTTTTTGAGGTTTGTGCAGAGAAACAGAATGATACATATCAGCACAATGAAAAGAAATATTGCTATCTATTGTCACACAAAAATGATGAATGCAAGAAAGGAAGAATGCCTTGAGCAGACGGGCGCCACGGCTTGCACAAGAGCACCTTGTAAGGAAGTTGTATCCGTATTTCAAACAGAGTTATTACTGCGACAGCACTTAATAGGACACTTCGCGGTTTTGCACCATTGTCCGCGCTCCATATCAACACGGGCCTATTTTCGACACTCCGCCAAAACATTCCACGGGCTGCTCAAGGACGAAAAGAAGCATGCAAAGCAGTATGGGGATTCTGCAATGTCAGTGGTGTCTAACATGTCAATAAGTTCTGCACAAGCATATGTGGGGCAAACGGGAAGATGCATGAATGATAAGAGCAAGATAATACATGCATGGTCAGTAAAACAGACTCCGCCGGATAATCTGGCAGTGCACTGGGATAGGTGCCCATGTGACTCAGAATTAGCAGAAACAGCAATTCTCGACAGATATGCAGATAAAACTGCCTTAGAATTTTACGATGCGTACTGTATCAGAAAGCATGGCATATTCCGACGTTGAGCACAGCGAATGAAGAACATGCACCTTTCATTGGCCGGCAAGCAGGAACTCGATGCACCTGACAGATTAGCTGGGAAATGGTATATAGCAAAACTAACCCCAACGACGCCTACGACTCATTTTTGTCTTTGTTTAAATCAGCTTATATCTGCTTTCATTACAAATCATCAAAAAAAAGTGTGAAAACCTTAGATAACAAACAAGTCATTAAAACTTATAAAACAAAAAGCTCTCTTCAAACAATTCTTAGATACAAGAAGCTCAGATGATCTACATGCATTTAAAGTGTTTCAAAATGAAGTGACAAGTTTTCTTAGACAAGCTAAAAGGACTTTCCTTCATGCCCCTTTCAATGCTGAAATAGTGAAAAAAATATGACGCTATGTGGCAAAGACTGAATACAGTGCTTGGTCGTGGGCAGCAGCAAACCCAACGTGTCCAATAGCTTATAATAAATGGTCTGCCAACATCAGTGGAGTGCAACTAACTGTATCTTTCAATAACTTTTTTTATTTTTTTTTTTTTTTATTGCTAAACAGCTGGTCACAAATTTGCCCAGTTAAACATGTCTTAGATCTAATTTGTCCCCATCTCGAGCATGTGTATAATCTTTCTCTTATACGTGGCATATTTCCGAAACATATGCAGTTGGCTAAGGTGAGCGTTGTATTTAAAGGAGGTGACAAAAATTATTTATTAAAGTACAGACCAATATCAGTTCTTCCAGCTTTCTCAGTGCCTCATAAAAACTATCAATGACAGAATGACTTCATTTTTTGAAAAGCATAGCATAATGATAGATTCTCAATTCGGCCTTAAAAAGAGTCGTTCAACTGAGGCAGGACTTCTGGCACAAAAAGAACTTATTACCAATGTGGACTGAACAAAAATTACTAACACTAGGGGTCTTTGTAGATTTCTCTAAGGAATTTGACAGAATAAACCACGAGACACTTATAAGAAAACTTGAGATTTATGGCTTCCGGGAGATATTTTTAGATTTATTATGAAGTTATTTTGAGCTTCGCTGCCAGAAAGTTGTTGTAAACAATAAAATGTCAGCTATTAAACCAATCAATTCTGACTAACCCCAAGGTAGCATCCTTCAACTGTTGTTTAACAGATACATAACAAACCTGGAAAAATAATACCTACTTTGTTATTTATGCTGACAACACTACCTTATTTTTAATTCTACCAATACTAAATAATTAATAGATCATACAAATAATGTGCTAAGTAAACTAGACAAATGGAGGGTTTTCAATTCCTTAACCAACAACAAATCGAAAACAAAGGCTGTGATTTTCAAGCCTAAAATTTAGAAAGTAAATATTGAAAACAACCTTATGATTGAAACCTCAAACTTGAATATTGTGCCTTCAATTAAAAGCAGTTTTTTACTTTTTTTCTTTTTAAGAACACTTAGTTTGGAATAAGCATTCCCAGATGGTTGCAAAGAAACTTGCCCGCGTTGTAGGTGTTCCGACAAGGGTGCACTTCTTTCTGCCAACTAATATAAAATTGCCTATTTACTACTCGCATTTTGTTTTGAACCTCAACTACTTCATTTAGTTTGGAGAAACAGAACCATGACAAACATTTCTAAACTATTCTTACTAGAAAAAAAAACAAAAAACAAAACATTCACACTATCTCAGGTTCAGCTTATGATGCTCATAAAGAGCCACTTTTTATTAGTCTTGATGTCTATGCTGTTCAGTTCTTATATAATGACTTACTGCTGATGAAATACTATGTTGGAAAAAATTTAAAAAAAAATGAAATATGTTTACAATCCCCTCTAACACCGAATCAGAGTGCAGCTCTTGAGGAGGAGGAGGGAAAGGTACGGAGAGGAGGGTATGCCCCTCCTCCTCATCCGTACCGTCCTCTCCTTTCTCTCCAGCTCGCCTCCCAATTAGCAGGAAATTTTTGCTAAATTTCCCACTATAAATGTAGTGGAAAATTTTTCCACTAGATGTAACGGGGAACTTTTTCTGCTAAGTTTAGCAGGAAAATTTTCCGCTACATTTAGCGGAGATATTTTTTTTTTGCTAAATTTAGCGGGGAATTTTTTCCGATAAAATTAGCGGGGAATTTTTTCCGCTAAATTTAAGTGGAGAATTTTTTATGTAAAGTTAGCGGGAAAATTTTCTCTCTAAAATTAGTGGGGAATTTTTTCTGCTAAATTTAGCGGGAAATATTTTCCGCAATATTTAGCGGTGAAATTTTCCCGCTAAATTTAGCGGAGAAATTTACCCATAATGCAAAGAACGGTGACGTCACTCGTGACCCTCGTGACATCACACGTGACATCACATGTGACGTCATCATGGGAAACGTCCCATAATGCACCACGCGGTTACGCCAACGGCGATGCCGCTCAAGCCCGAAACGGGCGTCCAAGAGCTGCGCTCCAAAACAATTTTATTGGATAATTATCAAAATTAAAAAGAAACACAAACAGCTACAACGCAAGTCACAATGAATTATGGACAGTGGCGTAGGCAGAGGGGGGGTCTAAGGGGTCAAACCCCCCCCCCCCCCCAGAAAACAAAAAAGGGGGGGGGCCCGCTTGCTCCCCTGCTCACGCAGTCGGTTTTGCACGAGGGACAAAACAACGGGGGAGCACGGACCATCTCCAACTTATAGGCTTTCGGAAAAGTGTTTGTGGGGTAGAAAATGCTCAAATTAATAAAATATGCAATATTGCTTAAATCATGTTTATTTGATGGGATGCGGAACTTGATCTCAGATATGTAGAGAACGGATATTTCGAAACATTTGTGGGGTGAAGGATGGCAATTTCAAGGTAAAATATAACAAACTATCCTCACGAAAATACACAGTTCAATCAAACCTTTTGCACGCACAAACTATGAAACTTAATTACTTCTTTACTCATTGGCATCTTTACACAATTTACAGACTGATTAGGCGGAAATATTTTTGTCTGTTACTCCGTTCACCTTATACGATTTTAAGTGTATTATTGGTTCAATGTATATTAGCTGCTGTATGGATTGTATGTATTGTGATTTTTTGTTTGTTTATTATTGTATAGCACCGCTGTTGCTGATCTCTAGGGGCACGGAAAACCTGTTATGTCGCACTCCAGTGGCTTTTCGTCTGTGCTCCTGACATCATCATTGTATGATGTGGTGTTCAATAGATTTGATTTGAGATACTGAGTTTTATTTTCTAAACACATAGCCAGAAAGATTGTATTAATAGTATGCATTTGTTGCAATAAACCTTCATTTGAGAGTGCTCTTCGTCTTGTTTACTTCCTTGTCCCTGTTTATTCAACGCTTTTCGTTTAGCATGTGATTATTAATGGAGACGAGACGAACGAAAGCACGCTCTCCTCTAACACAGACAGCTTAAAGGGACAATGAAGGCACTTTCGGACATCTTTTTGGCGATTGAACTGGGTTCCAGGCACGTCTCAGGCCACGTTACCTAAATTTCAGCCGAAACCGGCGCTTGTGTGCCGCGCACATCAATTAAACAGTCGCGGTAATAATCGTACCGGGATCGACTGGGGCGACGCCTCGAGAGTTGCGGGAGAAGCCATGAGAAGCGGAGCTCACGTGACCGATGTGGGGCCAAGAAGCGCGACGTCACAAGAGACGCGTCAGCGATTGGTCGAAACGAGAAACGTGCCCTCGGTCACGTTTTGGTTTGCGATTTTTAGGAATACTGTTCTAATTTCCCCTTGAATAACCATGAAAAGTATAAATCGGGCCGGAAATGATTACTAAACCGTAAATAAAGCAGCATAATTGTTTTTTTCTTTGCTACGCGGGGCGCGAAACGGGCAACGAGCAACTATGGGCAAACAAAATAAAATAAAAAAACACGGTAATCGAACGATTCTGCAAAATGGTAGCTGTAGGTGGCTGTTCTAACGGTTGACTGACGACCAGTATTCGTTCGAGCGACGCTAGTTTTCATGTGTAGGTTGCTCTTCGAGAGGACGTCCGCGGAGGAATCGGATCCCGAAACGGCCGGATCGCTGCCGCTTTCCCCTCGGCATCTCCCCCGCGTCTGTCCTTCGGCATGCGGGCCGCTCGTTGCCGGCTGGGCGGTCTCCGTCGGGTGATGGCAGAGGCCGCCACACACTTACTCCCGTTCCGTTGGTGTTCGGTCACTGAACGGAACCTCAAACTCTCTCGCGAGAGCGGCATTGCCGTCCATGTTGGCAGATTCGGCGAAACAACCGCGCCACCGCGCTGCTATAGCCCACCGCGGTAACCAGAGTCTCGATCTCCTAAATACTACAAATACCGACTATTCACATTTGACGTCACTCCCTACGTCACCTCCGTTTTCGGAGGCCCAAAAACGAGAATGGAGATTGTTCAGTTTCGGTTTCTTTACTTC